CTCGATGGCCTCGCTCATCTCACTGACCATCCTTTCAAGGGTGTCAGTCGTATCGATGTCCAGCTTCTTTTTGAGCAGTCCAGCCGCGGCGGTGAGAAAGCCCCTAAGAGCCCCGTCCCAGGAATCGAGATCCAAAAGCTCCAAGAAGGCCAAGGCAGCGAGCCTAAGCTCCCACAGGCAGGCCTCGAAAGAGATGAGGAGGCTGTGAGCTTCTTCGCAACGCTCAAAAACAGGGGCATGAGATGTCAGAGCAAGAGTGTTGGCCCAGTTGTGCATGCCTTGGGCTCTTTTGTCGGGGGCAGCGCCAAGGACCGCCTTGTTCTTTCGTGTCCACTTGACGAAGTAGAGAGTGAGCTGATCAGTGTAGGGCTTCCTAGGATAGGCCTCCTGGACAGGGAAAGCGGCAGCAGCCGCCCAAAGTATCTGCTCCTGAACCTGGCTGTAATGTTTATTGATGTCGGTCGACCACGGCATCAGTGGGATGGTACACAAAAGCGACTTCAACATCGCAGCTCTATGGTGATATTTGGTAAGCTTGCGGTTGTACCTCGGCCTGCAAACCTCGCTTCGGCTACTAGGATCTGGTCTGTCGTGGATTGCCCACGCCATTCCCAGCACAGCAAGGAAATGATCACTAGCACCCAACAAATCGTCGAGGTCACTCTGCACTTGCTCGAAAACGATGGCAGGCACAAAATGAGGTTTCACAAGAACGTAATCGATCCCGTGGTATGCGCCATTCTTCACACAGGTGAAACCGCTGGGATCAGTGCCCCTGCTCCAACTGGGGTCAGAAAAGGTTGGGGGGGGGGGGGGGGGGGGGGGGGGGGGGGGGGGGGCGACAAGGCCGAGCTCGCACATGAACTGGTGAAAACAAGTGCCCGATACATTCTCTTCCTCCGCCCATCCTCCGACCCCGACGGCGGTGGGCGAGATGCTGCCGACCCGAGCGTTGGCATCAACCGACACGACGTCGACCGACATCCGATGGGCAATCGCGGTAGTCTCCTCCCACCACCTCTGAAGAGCGCCAGCGTCGATGGTCCTGCTCTGCGCGCCCTGATAGGGAGCGCGCAGGACCATGACATTGAAATGAAGTCCTGGCGCGCGGACTTGCACAACAATCCCGCGGATATCCTTATGCGCGACGAGAAAGTGGCTTTTCTGGAAGTACGTTGGGAGGCCTCGGTGAGTCATATACGGAAGGGCCAGCGTAAAACAGGCCTCAATCCCGAAGTTTTCCCCGTCGCCTCCAGAGGCAAGAATGTAGTAGCCATCGGCGGTCCTGGTCCCTTCAGGGGTCCGCGCTTCTTGGGTTCCGAGGACTTGTATGCCCTGCTCGTGGAACTGTTTGCTAACCAATTTGGCATTGTGTCTGCGCTGCTGTCTCTTGGTATCCTCGAGCATGGACATCGCATTGTAAGTCGCAACATTGAGGGTGGGATCACCAGCCAATTCCTTGGGGGGATCGGGCCCACATTCTTGTCCCAGGGGTAAGTAGTGATGTGGGTATGCCGTCGCATATGTGCGCGCGGGGGTGTCGTAACTGGCCTGTCCGTCATGTTCGGTGATCTCTGGATACGCGCTGCGATCGGCTTCCAGCTCGGTAAACCACGACCAGGCATCTCCCACCGCAAGGGTCAAGAGCTTCGCCCAGTCGGGGTCGCGAGCTTCGGAGTCTGTTCGCCTACGCCTAGAGAGACCGTCGACTAACTCGTTCCAGAGATGGGCCTTGCGGGACGGGACACGGCGAAACGTGAGGTCATACCTCGCTCGCAGGTTAACAACCAAGTGGCGCAGCATAGCGCCGAACTCGGGGTGGGCAGAGGATTGAGCAGATCCTTCAGCAATCTGAATGGCGGAAACGGAATCAGACTCGATGACAAAACCCTCAGCCTCGTGCTGTCCCAAGAGAAAGATCCGGAGCAGCGCCCAAAGGATTCCCCCCATCTCGGGCGTCGTGCTGCTAAAACGAGTAGCGTCTAAATCAACGCCAACGGATGAGAGAACCTTTCCTGTCCTAACCCCAGAAAAGAAAAGGATCCTGCTCTGTCCTTGGCCACCGCGGCCATCGCCCAGGCCGCTGTGCTAGGGTCCTGTTCGCCGAAGGACCCGTCGACGAAGATTGAAATCTGGCCGGCGACGTGCTCGCTAGTCGGGCACGTGTCCAAGCCAGGCTGCGCGTGGGCGTGCAAGCCCACTCTGTTAACAACTAACTCAAGGTCTATCTGGCACCCTTCTTGTTGAAGGCGTGCGAGCAATCCTAAGTGCCCCAATTTGCATCTGATCGAGTCGGTAGGATCATCACCCACGATCGCGACCTCGATCGGGGTCCGACTGTCGAGGTCAAGCATCTGCGGTCCCGCGGGGTCTCCAGTCCCCGAACGCCCAAGAGTGACTGGGCTCCGCGCCTCCGAACTGCCCAACCCACCATCGGGAGGAGAGGAGGGGGCGGGGGAGGGATCAAAGAAGTGAAAAGGCACAGTCGTGGCGAATGCCACCTTGGACCTGGGCCTGTCGAATTCGGTGCGGCAGCGCTGGGGTGGCGGTGTGTGCTCGCTAGAGTCTACATGCATGCTGCTGGGTGTCGGGCTCTCCCCATCCGACACCCTCTCATGGCCGTGTAGGCTCAGTACTCGCACTCCGCGTAGGGATCCATCTGGGCGACGTCGCTGCTCGGTACTCGGTGATCCTCTGCTGTCTTGGCGGCCGTCTCGATGTCCGATCGTCTCTGAGGCTTGCGAAACGCTGCCATGGCTGTCCTCGGTTTGCCCTTGTCGTTGGCTGGCCGCCTGGAGGATCCTGGCGCTCTCGTTCTCTGAGCGCGGACACTTGGGCTCCTCGAAGCGGACGTCCTCTGACTGCTGCGCTGCCGTGGCCCCAAGGATAACTGCCCGCCCTCGGAGCCGCTCTCGAAGGCTGCTGCCCTCTCCTTCACCGTGATCCATCCCGCCGTTGTGTCCTGCGCAGTGTTCTCCATCAACGGTATCGGAGTGCATGGCTGAGTCGGCGTCAACGATGGTGGTGATCTGGGAGCCGCGGTTGGTGGTGTTGGCGGCTGTGGCGATGATGGCGCTGGGAAATGTCCAGATGCCGTCGCCCCTGTTGCTGATGAACATACCGCGTCTCGCATCATCATGGCCTCCACTGCTGCATCTGCATCATCTGGTCTGCCATGGGCTTCAGCTGAGCCTCGACCTGCTGCTGGACTGCGCGTGTATGCTCGCGCTCGACGGTGCGGTGCCTGCAGTGGATGCAGCCGGCGTCGATGCTGGTGTAGAGGCCGCGCCTGGAGGGGTCTCCTCTATCGGGCGCTCGGGGAATACCACCACGCCCTGGCTCGGCTTGTCCTCGTCCATGTCCGTGCTGCTCTCCATTTCCTTCTGCTGCTTCTCCGACTCCATGAGCTGGTGGATATCCATCTTGGTGCGCTTCAGCGCGTCCAGCTGGTCCTGGAGGTTCTCTCTGACGTTGATCTTCGCTTGGAGGTGGTCCTTGAGCGAGGCGACTTCTTTGTTGGCTGCTTCCACGCGCAGCATCATCCTGGCGATAGTGGTCTCTGTCCAGGCGCTCTGCTGATGTAAACTCTTCTCCGGTATCAACATTCTCCTCAATATGGATATAGATGTGGCCAGCTCCTGCACTGGCTCTCTCATGGCCCAGGCTAAGTTGCACCTCTGCTGGAGCAGGTTCAGCCTGGAGCGAGTCTCTCTGTAATACTCTTTCTTCTCCGACTCCGTGGCACGCGAGCTCAAAGGGCGGTAATCTTGATGAGCTTGTGCCTCTGCTGGAATCGCCATTCGTACGTATGGGGCGCCATTGGTCTTCGTCTCGTCTTCCCATGTACGTGACTCCGATGTCGATCTCTGGCTCTTTTGGCTCTTGGATCTCTGGCGGCCCTTGTGGTTGTTGGTGCCGTTCTCTTTCTTGGAAGACTTCCAATGACCGTTGCACTTGACGCAGTTCACCGAGGTATTCCAATTCTGCTGCCCGCATCTGCATTGCCATGCGCACATCCATGGCGCCATCAACGGAACCTTCTGACTGGGGCTCCGCAGCGGGAGCAGAAAGAAAGAGGAATGCGGTGAGCCTGGCAAAGAACTTGGCCAGGGCGGTCGTGATGCCTAGGATCGCTATGCTCCAAATCTTTGGGCCGTGCTACGGACAGGCCCAGACCTAATCGCTGATTCTCGGGCGTCTGTAGCCCTTCACAACGTTTAAGTCTTGAGCCAAAATGGCTACGGACCCTCCTCCTCCTCCTCCTCCTCCTCCTCCTCCTCCTCCTCCGCCTCCCTCGCCTCGCCTCCCTCCTCCACTTCCCCCTTTCCTTCTGAATCTTCCTCCTTCCCGGGCACACTCCGATCTACCTTTTTCCATCCGCTGCCCCAGGAGAGCTCCCGACCCCTTCCCCGGGGGCAATTCCGCGTGCAAGCTCCACGCTTGATCGTCCCGGGGCCCTAGAGCCTAGAGGCCGAGATCGAAACACAACAACGCCGGAAATGAACAAGTCACACAGGGCCGGACCCGAACGTTGCTGTTCGTGTTGTCTTCGTTGTGTCTTTCCTCTTGCTCGACATGCTTTCCTGCAACTCCCCACCACAACGAAAAACAAAAAAAATGAAGTCCCGCAAACCAACGCTCAGGTCCAGCCCTGAAGTCACACTGTCGGAGATCTGGGTTTTCAGGTCGTGTGCTCGACCTGCCTTCCTGCACCTCCCTGCCAAAGCGAAAAACAAGGAGAAACCGAAGTCCCGCAAACCAGCGCTCAGGTCCAGCCCTGACGGCACACTGCCGGAGATCTGGGTCTTCAGGTCGTGACGCAGGCCTCCGGCGGCCGATCGGGAACAGCCTGGCAACCCCCGGAGAGCTCCAGGTGAGGCCCAGCGACTGAACAGCCTACCGAGGCTGCAGAACCGATCGACGAAGACGGCCAACAACATCGATCGTCGGAGATCTGGCTTCCTCCTCCCTCTCCCCCTAGCTGCTCCCCCTCGGGTCACGTGCCGTCGTCCTGGATGTCCTGCGCCGCGAACTCGCCGTCCAGGTCGCCGTCCTTGGGACCGCCTGCTGTCGGCGTGCCGAGTTCCCTGGGCGGGCGCGGGGGAGAAGGAAGGCGGGAGGGGAGGGGAAGAGGGAGGGAGGGGAGAAAAAGAGGGACGCGGGGGGAGGGATTAAACAACATTCAACATCTCACAGGTGTAGAATGGAGCTGGCGAGGTCCTGGAGAGTTTACCCCATGGGCCTACACGTGGTCGGGTGCTGGCCCGTCCACAGACGATTCAAGCGACCCTGTGCATTGTCTCTATGACCCTTGCACTAGCTGTTGCTGAGGCTCTGCCATCGCCTCTGAGCGTAGCAGGCGCATGCTTGGACGAGGGGGTGGAGGAGGGGGAGGACGGGATCAACAAAATAAGCACAATCCATCGGATCCCACCACTACTGTGTTAAGGGACCAATCGAAACCCACGGTCCCTCACCGCAGAGGCCCCCCCTGGTCCGGTGCTGACCATTCAAAGAGTCGATTCAGTCTGCCTGCCCCGTGCAGTTGGCTCGGTGTCCTTTGCATTTACTTTTGCAGGTACACTGAGAATGCCACTGAACGTACTGGAAGAGGGCGTGTGGAAAAGAGAGCAGTGATGATGATGATGATGACGACGCCGCCGATGGCGATGACGATGACGATGATGAACATGATGACGATGGCACGGACGATGGCGCTGATGATGGTGACGATGATGACGACAATGATAATGCTGATATGGCTGGTGAAAGGACGGACGGTGGAAGGTCACTGGAATATGATGGCGATGCGGATGATGGTTATAGTGATGATAACGATGGTGATGACGATGACGCTGATGAAGATGGTGATGACGAAGATGATGGCGACGACGGCGGCAATGATGATGATGATGATGATGATGATGATGATGATGATGATGATGATGATGATGAGCGTATCAGATCAGAACCCATCGGAGGCGGCGCCGTCCATCCCATGCTGGGCCCTGTCAAGAACTACGGTCCTCGAAACGGCTCGGACATCTGGTAACGAATGTGACCCCTGCTGAGGCCTAGGGAATCTCGAATTCCCAAATCTGGCCTCCCAGGTATTCCGCGACACATTCGGAGAAGAGGGAGCAGGCGAGGAAGGAAGGTGGTCGAAGGGCAGAGGAGAGAGAGGAGGGGTGGAGGTCTCCTGGGTACTCTGGGCGGCTTGGCACAGCCTACTCACGATGGCAGCCAGGCGCTGCCGTTTCACTTCTTGCAGCGCCTCGTCCTGCAGCTTCCTCAATCGAACATCGCCCCCATATATATATATATTATATATATATATATATATATATATAATATATATATATATATATTCTGGGGCCCTGCGTGGAGGAGGCGCCCTAGGTGGCCCATCGGGGCCATGCCTTGCTTGTACTCGGCCCCCGCATGGATTGGAGAATCCAGCACGGGCGCCATGTCCAGCCTCCCTCCGAACGCTACGATCAGCTTCACCTTGCCCTCCTCGTAGCCGTCGGTGAGCTTCGCCAGCGGAACTACCTCGCCCATCTCGGCTACAATCAGCTTGGCCTGCTCTGTCGCCAAGGTCTCTAGGATCTGCTGGTTTACGCGACCCACCGCGTTTCCCTCGGCTTGCAGCCCCTCGAACACTCCCGCGTAGCACGCCGCCGGTGTCGTTCCCATCGTGCTGATTTTCTCGTCGATCTGCTGCTTGATGTGATTGGCCCTGCTGTTTTCTGCCGTTCGAAACCATGCTCGCATTGTCCCTCGTGCCTTGATCGCTGGCTGCAGTCCGAATGGCACGATGAACGACTTCAGCTCTATCGACTCGATCTGGCGCTGTCGATGGGCCAGGTTCAGCAGCGGCCGCGCCATCGCAGGGAAGAGCTGCTGCGTCGTGCTCACGATCTCGCAGTCGTCGAGCTCGCTCAAGTCCTCCACAATATTGGAGTCCTTCTTGTTCAGCTTCTGCTCCTCGGATCCTTTGCCGCTTGAACCGCCGGCCTCGCCGGCTGAACCCATGCGACCGCCTCTGGCCGTCTTCCGCGGGCGGAATTCGGCGTCGTCCGCGTCGATGTCCGGCTGGCCCTGCGTCCGCGACGCGCGGCTGAGGGAGCGGTAAGTGCAGGTTGCCGATGTGCTTCTGAAGCGATGGGTCTCCAAACTGCTCCCCGCAATCTGTCTCGGGGCATTCAAACAGCGGCGGAAGGATAACTACACGATTCCCTACCTAGGCCCTGCCTGGCTTAAAGGACCGGGCAGCGGGAACCGGCCCGGGCGATTTCCCCAATATCCGCCCCGCGATTCCCCCAGCTACGTCCCCTTAGCCTAGCGTTGCTTATCTCATCTTAGCTTAGCTGATTTCATCTTAGCTTAGCTTAGCTTCGTCTTAGCTCAAGTTTATCTTGTCTTCGCTTACAGTCATCTTAACTTCGCTGAACTTTAGCATCGCAGAGCACAGCATAGGATAGCATAGTGCAGCATATCATATCATAGCATAGCCCAGCATATCGTAGCGCAGCGTAGCATAGCATAGCATAGCGCAGCACAGCATAGCACAGCGCAGCATAGCAGCGAAACAACGGCAAATCAACAGCAGCGACGGCAAAGCACAAACAACGCAAAGCAAAGCAAAGCAAAAACAAAAGCAAAACAAATGAAAAAGGCAAAGCAAAAACAATGTGCGACAGATGCCGAGCCAGCCTCGATGGCCGGACCGGAGCGCCCGCAAGCAGCGCCTTAGCGCAGCATAGCATGGCATGGCATGGCATGGCAACGAATGCTGCTTTCCTGGGGGCTCCAACTTCTAGGTCGGGTCGCACTTGGGTAATTTTCAACAGAGAAATCCGCGATACACCGTCCGCGCCGATAGCCAATCGGCTGCCGCGACGCGATCAATGGCGGCGCGGCGACGGGCGAACGTCGACATGCAAGAGGGGCACTGATCAATCACAGTAATTCGTGTAAAAATGTTCGGCCTGCCGTGCTCTCCTCCTCCCGCGTGGATCTGATGTGCCCTGAGTGCCCACGTCACTCCAGCCCCTCCCAATCTATCAGAGAACGCAGGAATTCGCCCTCGAAACACCCCTGGCCCCCGCGCTGCCGCGTCGGCGTGACTGCGGGGCTCTCGCGCCAGATCTGTCGAAGCTGCGCAACGTCGAACTCAATAAATCCCCCCGTCAGCTCGGGAACCAGGAAGACCCTCGCGCGGTCGCCCCCCGCGCCCTCCGGGAAACCCAAGCCCCCGCGGAGCTTCCCCAAAAGAACCAAGTCGTTCTTGAATTGCATGGCCCAGGGGTTCGCGCGGCCCCTGGGAAACGAGCGGGGCGCCCACTGGCGAGAGCTTGAAAGTGGCGAAGCCGTCTGATGTGCAACTCGGCGCTCGGTTGGGGCCACCTTTATTCGCTCCCAGACGGCTTCCGCGCACGCAGTCGTAACCTTCCACCGATCTTCTTCTCCCCCTTTAGTGGGCCGTCGTCGGTGCGTGGCGATTCAATTGCATGGCGCAGCAGCGTGCCTAGTGGAGTCCGCGTCGAGCCGCTTGGTCTGCTCCACCGCCAGGGCCCTCGCCTCGAGGCCCGCCGGCGCCGCCCCCGGGATGCGATCCCGAAACGACAATCGCATCAGAGAAAAACGCCGACATGTCTTCCAGAACTCCCCCATGCCCCGCCATCCCACTCGAATCGCCGCGCACCGCGCACGGATCTCCTCGTCGTTCCCCCCCGAGGTCTGCGCGTGGAGGAACTCTGAGGCCCGCGACATACGAAACAAGGACTGACCTTTTTTTGCCCTCGGCTCTGGGCAAGGCCAACTCGCCCCAGAGCAGCGTCGAGATGCCGATCGGAAGCGCCAGCCCGCTGGGTTGCACTGCGTGCGTCTGGGTGGGGCGATGCGCGCATGCGCGAGGTCGTCGGCGTACTTCCTCGCCCCCAAGTCGCAAGTCTCTCTCGTTGATGCGCGCCCTGCTTTCATCTCGCGCACATTCTCCGTCGGAGAGGGGTTGCGTCACCGCTCGCCTGTCTGGGCTTCGTTCGCCAGTCGGAACTGTGATGCAACATCTGCGTCGCCCACGCAACGGCCCGTGCCGCTCCGGAACGTTTCCGCGCCATCGCGCCCCTGGACCGCGCACGCCGCGTTGCGGTGTCAGGACATCATGATGTCTACGTCCCCGCGCTGGTGCATCTGGAGGGCTGCGCGGTCCATGTGCTGGTGGCTGACGCTGGCGAACGCGTCCGTCATATCGTGCTTGGTCGCGACGTGGCCCAGACCTGCCGCGCGTAGTCTCCAATGCAATGCGTCTCAAATTGTCAATGCTCCCACGCGTGATCGCCCCTGAACAGGGCCGTGATCCTCCGCCGACGGTCGCAATCCTGTTGCCCGCCCACGCCTTTCCAACGCTGCATGTGCCGTGTAGATGTCTGGGCCGGGTGTCCTCGGTTCCTTGATCATCTTATTCGCCTGGTATGTCTGCGATAGGTTCCACCATGCGTTGAGCCGCTGGTGGCGTCGTGTCCATGCCATCGGGGCCCACAGAAACTCCTGTAGTCGTGGTCCTGCCACCTGTGGTCGTTCTTCGCGACGTCGTCGCGGTGCACGGCATGATGATAGTAAACGCCACACCTCAGTCGGCATAGACCATGGTGGCGCAGCCCGTCGTCGTCGCCCTCGGCCCAGCTGGTGCGCGACTCCGACCAGGTCGTGGTTGGCTAGCTCCCAGTGCTCCATGTCGGGGCGGAAGGGGCAGTCGTGAGCCGAGGCGTCGCGAATGAAGCCTTCGGCGGTGGTCATAATCGCTTCCGCCCCTCCTTCACTTCCAGGCAGAACCAGGTCCAGCGTCCACGTCTGTTGGCCAAGGCGGGCGTCGGGTAGTACGTAGTGCTTCCTCTTACGTGGTCCCAGCCCGTTCCCAGCCATCTGAAAACTGATGCGCTGCGCCGCGTCCTCTCTGTTGGTGCGGATGGCCTCTTCCAGCTCTTGGTTGGATTCTCTCTCTCGCGTGCCTTCCTGGTATCTGTCCTGACCTGCTTGCATCTTCCCGTGCGCTGTCGTAGTCGTCGTGTGCTGTCCAGCTCAC